CAGAAGACAAAGATGCTGAAATTAGTTCTGAATGTATTATCAGATCCCAGCAGAGGAACAAACGAAGGGGGGCATCAGGTACCATGAGTCTTTATTATTAAGATGATTATAATCTGAGTCCCCAGCGAATGGGTACAGCACCTTGAGCGTAAATGTCCAAAGAGTCTAAAGCAGAAATATTGTTCATCCTGATAGGATCAAGTGGCAGGCTCCTGGGAAATGTTATTGTGTGACTGTGGGACATGACCCCCAGCGTACTGGATGGTTTATACCATTCCAGCCTGGTGTCCTCTGCAAACTATACGTTCCTTAATCTTTTGAAGGAGGTGGATGTCACGTTCAACTACAATACCAGGTTCTCAGTTTAGTCATTTTGGCTTCTAAGGAGACTTCAGGCTTGATTTGCTCTTGGACTCATTTATTTGTCATTTCAGCAGTCCACAGAATTCATAGAACTCTTCTCCAGCACTGCATTTAAAATGAGTTGATTTTCTTTCTTTCAGCTTTCTTCACAGACCAGCTTTCACAACCATACATAGAAAATGGAAATATGATGAGATGGACAATCCTAAGTTGAATATTTAATTATCTATCTTTACACTTCAGGATCTTTTCTAGTTCCTTCATAGCTATCCTTCCAAATCCTCCTCTTCTCCTGATTTTCTTTTACTAAAGTCTCCATTCATATGAATAATTGAGCCAAGATAGTGAAAAAAATTAAACTCTTTCAATTTATTCATCATATCCTTTAAAGTTATGTAAATCCTCGGTGGTTATTCTTTTTGTTTTCCTTATGTTCAACTGTAAATCTGCCTTTCTTCAGCACTCATTCCATCTCTTTGCTATTTTCTGCTAGCAGTGTGGTCACCTGCATATTTTGAATTATTATCACTCTGTACTGCATCTGTTTATATCCACAAAAGTGCATGCAAAAATTAAAAAAAAACAGACTCAAAGGAGCGGTCACATATCTTTATTTCCCTACTCTCCCTTCCTCTTTTTTTGGATAGCTCTGACCTGTAACAAAGTGAAAATAGCCAGGGGTGGATGAGGACTGAGAAGAAATGGCTAAGAGGCTGCAATTGCTGTCTCTCGGCATCTGCTGCCTAAGTAATTGCCTCACTCTGTCTAAAGTAGGGTCAGCCTTCCTGCATTTGAAATCTTACAAAATGTGGCCCAGGTTATTTGACAAACACAGGAAGGCTTCCATCCATCACGGCATCATGTGCAGCCCACCGTTATCCATCAAATGAGAGGAGATATAATGACAAAAAGGGCAACCTTGAGCTTAGCCTGTTAATTTTAATGGAGTGACTGCAGCAGTTTGTCACGTAGCTGAGGATCTGGCTCTTGTCTGTTCCAGGAAACTGTTTGAAGACAGAGATATATGAAAAGCTGCTTTTGCTCCTTCCACAGATGGGATTGCTTTCCACACCTCCCTAACTACAGATGGGCTTTCAGTCATGATGCACACATTTCTAATCCAAAGCCAAAAAAGGGTGGGTGGATCATGTTCTTTTAAGTACCTTAATCCTGCTGCCTTTTATAATGCACAGGAATACAAATATTTTAGAACAAAATCTGCTATATTTACAGAGTTTAGCTGATGTGTTTCACCAGTCATTTTCAAAGACCAACATTCTGGTAGTTCATCTATATAAATAAAAATGTAATGTTCGTTTTTGGGATTAACATAACTCAAAAACCACTGGACGAATTGACACAAACTTAGGACACTATACCCCTAACAGACCAATGAGTGACCATCACTCATAAACCTCTCCCAAAATATAGTGGAAAGGACTTAAAAACCCACAAAAGCTAAATGATGATACAGTGCATATGTGAAAACAACAGCTCCCAGCATCCCCTAGACCAGGTCCTTTAGGGGAGGAGGATGCTCCAAATGCACTGCTTCCAAGCTGCAAGCTTGCTTCTCCTAGGATTTCTTTGAGAGCATCCCAAGCCGTACATATTTCCTATTTCGTATTCCTGGACTGCAACTCTCAGCAATCCTCCAGATACATAAGATAGATATATTAGATAGAGATAGATAGTAGGTAGCTAGATCAGTCAGGAGGACTGCTGGTAGTTACAGTCCAAGAATCTCTTATGTAATTTTGGATGTTGTTGTTATTTGTTGTTTATGCTCTGATTTTATTGCTGTAATATGTTGTCCGGGCTTGGCCCCATGTAAGCTGCTCTGAGTCCCCACTGGGAGATGGTGGCGGGGTATAAATAAAGATTATTATTATTATTATTATTATTATTATTATTGAAGTTTATTTTTAGATTAACACAGTTTATTATTATTGAACCTTGTGGCCCCTGCTAACAACAACAAAAATCAAAGTGGTCCCTGGTTAAAAAAAAAAAAACGTTGGGAACCACTGAGCTAGGTGATCATTCTTAAATTATTAGAAATGAAAATATGTTTAATATGAAAGAAAGACAAAAAGAATGGAGAAGGAAAAAACACCCAAGCTCCACTTTCATAAAAGATTTCCTCTTTTCCATAAAGTTAATAGCAAAAGAACTAACATAATTTTGTATTCAGGCTTAGGACTTCAACTTAGTGAAAATGTACTTGGTAATAAACACCACTGAATTCTGGGATTTTATTCTGAGTAAATATCCATGGGAATGCAGGTGAAATTCTCTAAAATCAGGTCCTAGATCCCACAGAAGTGATAAATTTGTTTCTGATATGTCTGAATGTTCTTCCCCATTAATCTTACCAATAACATGCTGATAAATGACAACTCTGCTTTTAATGCAACAGTGGGAACAGTATAGTCCTCCAGCTATTGTTGGATTGCAACTCCAATGAAATCTTAACGAGAACATAGAGCTGATGGGGAAGGGACTATATGTTTCCCACTCCTGTTTTAAAATATTTTTGGAGCGTATATTTTCAAGTGATCATGCACAATTGGAGAACATTGTGATTTTGTAAAAGGGGTTTTAAAGTAACTACAAAACAATACATTACCGCCCAAACTGGAGTAACAAGAAGTGCTAATTTTGCATATATATATTTAAAAAGGTAATTATGCTTAAATAGTAAAACCTCCACCTTTGCTTCTGCAGAAGCATTCTCTGAATGAACAAAAGAAAGGTTATGACAGAACACTTGTCCCTGAAGTTGCTTTTCTCTATGAAAGAATCTGGTTTCATTTTTTGAGCTTTCCGTATAGAGCAGGGGTCCTCAAACTAAGGCCCGGGGGCCAGATACGGCCCTTCAAGGTCATTTACCTGGCCCTCGCTCAAGGTCAACCTAAGGCTGAAATGACTTGAAAGCACACAACAACAACAACAACAACAACAACAATCCTATCTCATCAGCCAAAAGCAGGCCCACACTTCCCATTGAAATACTAATATGTTTATATGTTCATTTTAATTACTGTATAGTTTTAAAGTGTTTTTTGCAATACAAATAAGGTATGTGCAGTGTGCATAGGAATTCATTCATGATTTTTTCAAATTATAATCCGGCCCTCCAACAGTTTGAGAGACTGTGACCTGGCCCTCTGTTTAAAAAGTTTGAGGACCCCTGGTATAGGGCATTATTCACTTGTGGCAAGTGAGAGCTGCAGAATGATGCAAGCATACATATGCCAATAGCGTAGGATGGGGATGAGACTATCATTGTAGTGCAAGGCAAACTCCTGAACCTTACAAGAGAAGGAAGATACAGCTCACTGGGGTCTCATCCAATCTCATTAAACTAACATAAATATATGACTTGAAACAGTAGACAGATGCTAATGGATAAATGAAAGCCCACCAGATGTCATTATTCTACAGAAAGCCCTTTCCTCATTCACAGTGTGGTGTGACTGTTTAATGGCTCTTCAAATCTGTTTCTATACAGGTTCCTCTCTGTTAATTGACAAAATTTAAGCAGGCATTCATTTCCAAATGCAAGGGTGTACCTATTGTCCTACAGATGTTCACTATCACATTTAAGAAAGCCCTAGAGCAGTGGTTCTCAACCTGTGGATCTCTCCTTACGAACCATCTAGGAATTTAAGATCTTCTGGGGAGGCCCTGCTCTAGTTCCTGCCATCTTCACAGGTTCGGCTGGCAGGGGCGAGAGTCAGGGCCTTCTCAACGGTGGCCCCTCTGCTCTGGAATGCCCTCCCCAGGGACATTAGATCATCCCCACCCTCTTAACGTTTCATAAGAGTCAAAGCCTGGCTATTTGAGCAGGCTTTTCCAAATGCAGTGTAGCAGATAAACTCTGATCTCGGAATGGCTGGACACCGCAACTGGATAATGATTTGGTAATGAAATGCAGAGGATTTATTGTTTTATGATGTTTTTATTGATGTTATCATGTAGTGAATTTTTATCTATGCTTAAATGTTTTATCTATGTTTATATTGTTATGGGCATCAAATTGTGCCATTCTGTAAACCGCCATGAGGTGGCCCCGGGCTGAGAATGGCGGTATAGAAATATAGTAAATAAATAAAATAAATAAATAGTGGGAAGGCATCATATCACGAGGCATTGACACGTTTACCCATCATTTAAGAGGGACTACAGTCACAAAGGGAAGGCAAACCAGTAGCTGGATGCATACGTCTTTGTGTGATAGCTACCAATAGCAAGCTGCAATTCCAGTTTTCCAGAAGTATGTGATAAAGTTCTAGGTGTTTGAGGCCATCTTTCTAGTGTTCAGGGAGCCATGAAACTCACTGGGTGACCCTATACCAATCCCTCTCTTTTTCTCGGCCTGCTTTACTGCATAGTGTTATTGTAAGGAGATAGTTGTGAAGAAGAAATCCATGTACACCAACCATAACCTAACTGGAGGAAAAATGAGATACAAATATAACTAACCAACAAATAAAATATAAAAAAAATCAACAGGGTTATTTATTGAAAGGAAGCATGCATACCACAGCATTCACCGTGAAATAGTAATTCCTATATGAATACATGTTCCCTTTTTAAGAATAAATATCAAAAAGAAGAGAAAGTGCCTTGACAGATTTCCAATAATTTAATGAATATTCGGCTACCAAATGTTTTGGTCTATGATGCCAATGTTTTGAGGAATCAAAAATAAAATTTAAAAAATTGAATTAAATTAAAGACTGGAAAATGCAAAAATGAATTGCTTATCTAGTTACATAAACAAATTCTAGCATAAAGTTGAGCTTAAAATGTTCACCATGAGAGAGCGAGAGAGAGAAAAGGGAAGGAGAGAACAAGAACAGGAAAATGTGCAACTCATATTACTATCAAAGTACAACAGTTACTTTCCATTGACATTTCAATTTGTAGCCTCATGCCTGCAGACTTTTTTCAAGGGCCAAGAGTGTTTTTACAAACTTGACCAAAAATAATGTCACACGGAGAAGAAAAGACAGACCAAGTGCAAGGAAATGAAGACTCAGGCACTAGCATGGACTGAAAGTCCTTGTCAGTCCTCTACAACTGATGGGAAAAGGGACTTGGGTTCATCTTATGCAAAGTCCCTTGCCAATACAGAATATCTGGAACTCGGCAGCCGTTATGTACTGCATAAGAGCACATCTGCAAAGGGCCCAAGGAGATTTTTGTTGAAAATGCACCGGATCCAGACCAAGTAGTTCGTGAATGGCTTGATGTTGTCTGAAAACGTATGGTTCTGATGGGACAAGATGTAAGGCATGTATGTGTTTTCTCCTTGTTCTTGTATCCAAACTTCATATTTTACTTCCCGAACCTTTAGGTATTTCAGATTCCAAGGAATCTGCCAAGACACAGAGAGTTTTGCTTCAGTGGTGCCCTGGACAGAGGTTTGGCATTTGGCCTCCCTGACCTTCCCCGGGTAGAGACCACTGGCCCACTTCTGCCTCTTAGGCCCAGGCTTAGTTTTTACTGTTTGCCGAATAGTCTGGGTAAGGGAAGCAATGTTAATTCTTGTGTCCTGGTAGACACGGAAAAGCCACTCTGGGTTACGACAACAGAGGTGCCGAGGAACTTCACTGCTTTTTATGATGCGGTCTTGTTCAGCCTTGTCTAAGTGGGCAATTCCTCCTTGATCCCAGGGCCGGTCTGGGTAGGTCACGGTGTTCTCCTTTTCCATGTTCTGCCAGGCAATATATTGAAGATCCATGCCAGGAAGAGTAGACAGTGTTTTGTAGGGTGTGTAATGTTCAGGGTTGATGGCATAAGGGAAGAGTTCCACAACTGTGGCTCCCCTTGGCAGGAAGAGAGACATTATCAGCTGGGCTCCATGCATGCTGACTAGCATGGATGCATTGCTAATCAAGCGGACGATATCAGAAAATGTATGGTCTTCAATGGAAACCGTGATGGTTTTCATCTGAAATTCTTGAGCAAGTGCCAAGAGTAGTTCTGCCTCATTTAGGATGAGTCTATTTATAGTACGGCTGAATACGATAATATATTCTTCACCAGGCATTCCTTCCAAGCTCACATTCAGCTTCTCCATCATGAACTTAGTGAATTGTCGGATCTCATTGCCAGAGACCAGGATGTTGGCCTTTGGGCCTTGGGGCTGGACAAAGCCATACTGATACCATGTGGTGATCTTTGACAAACCCACATATGATTTGGTAAAGCAAAGGAGACGCCCAAGAGTCTTTAGCTGTTCTCGCAGGAGGGGTTGCTTGCTGCTCAGCAGCCTATACAGCTCAAAGTGAAGGCCTTCACCCCAACCTTCCATGAAAAAAAGCCTGGCCTCCAGGTCCAAATCCGGAAACTGCTGCATGGTATAGAAGATTGGAAGGAGGTCATCATGAAAAACATGCATCAAGTTGTCTGGGTTGAACCTATTCACAATCAGGGCCACATCTGGGACAAAAACAGGCTTTGGCATGAACTTTAGTGCAGCAGCCGGCAATTCAACAAAGTTGAAATATTGTGTATTGTGGTCTTCAACCGAGGACAGATCAAGCAGAGCAGGTTGAAATCTTCGGGAGCCCAGGTTAGGAAGCATGATGGAGGAGTTGCTGTGGAAGAAGACAAACTCTTCCGCCTCGGTGGAATAACAGAGGGACTCGAAGTGGCAGATACGGTCTGTGTGCATCCTGCCAGTACACACCATCCTGGTGCCATCTTCCACCAGGGCTTGAAGAGCAGCATGGTAGTCGATGCGGACTTGAGAGAGTTCCTGGGACTGGCGTGTGAGGACCAGCTCCTCTTCCAGAACAAAGACGTGGTCACGCAGCTTGATATATTTCCACAGCACGGCTGCAAGGATGGATACTAGCAAGGCATTAAACACAGCAGCTATGTTCATTCTGGATCCAGATCCTAGCAAGAGGACAGATGGTGAACATGAAGGAGGAGGGAGGCATCCTTAGTCCTCTTCAACATGGTGGAACAGAGACCTAAAAAACAAAGAAACTCAAAATAAATGTTTTGAAACTCCAAATAAAGCTCAAGACCACTATGAAGCCAATTTTTGGAAGATTACCCAAAAGTATTGACTAGCAGACTTTAGGCTTATGGAATCTACTTTTTGTTTCTATTAAGACCTCCCCCCCTCCTTTTTTGTGTGTGTGTGTCAGGAGCGACTTGAGAAACTGCAAGATGCTTCTGGTGTTAAAGAATTGGCTGTCTATAAGGACATTGTCCAGGGGAAGCCCATATGTTTTGGGTTTTTTTTTTGTTTTACCATCCTTGTGGCAGGCTTCTCTCATGTCCCCACATGGGGAGCTGGAGCTGACAGAAAGAGCTCATCCGTGCTCTCCCTAGATTTAACCCATTGCACCACCGGGGACCCATTGCAACACCAGGGACTCTGTAAAGTTGTTTGTTTTTTTCATCTCCAGGGAGAAACTGTATCTTTGCTTTGCTTTGTGTTTGACCAGCTACTGCATTAGATTCTCCTTGGTTTTGGTTCAGGAGGATGAGATTTCCATCAAGTGCACTGTTGATCATGTAGCAAATATCGGTAACTGCAATTAGGACTATGAGGAATTATGGGAAGGGAATTATCTGACTGGTCACGTAGCTGACAGATTAAGTGGCAGTAGAGAAGGATGAAAGAAAAAGCAATTACAAACTGCATTTGCTGTCTATAGTGGTGAAGAAAATCATACACACTTGAAGAAATCTAACAAAGGAACATTGATTTTATATATTTTTATATACATATATACATATGTATGTATGTATGTAATGTTCGTTTGTGGGATTAACATAACTCAAAAACCACTGGATGAATTGACACCAAATTTGGACATAATATACATATCAGGCCAATGAGTGACCATCATTAATAAAAACACTGAAAAACACAGCAAAAGAGACTTTAGAAGCCAGCCAACCCCCCAAATTGCAACACATGTGCAAAACCACATATATACAAAAACACACATATATACACACATATACAAATATATACACAAACATATACACATATATACACACACAAAACACATATACATAGACTGGGCCACAGCAACGCGTGGCAGGGGACGGCTAGTGTGTGTGTGTGTGTGTATGTATGTATATGCATGTATGTATCAGAAATCTAGTTTGACTCCAAGAGATTTCGGTCCTACTGAGCTGCAGAATCACTTGTGCAAAAAGAAGAGAATTTGGTCAGAAGGATACGAGTTAATATTAATGGAATAGTTATCTACTATCACATCAAAATATGTAGGCATTCAAATTATAATAATACCATGGCTTAATGTGTCACTGGCTGTCACTGTAAATTATACAGTTTAACTGTTAATTTTGATCATGATCAAAATCACAGTTTTTTATGGTCTGTGGTGTAAATGTTATGTCCCACCCTGGGAAGGTTGATTTTAAAAGGCCTCTTATGAATCTCAAATAATGCTAACACATGAATAGTGTTGAGAATAGAGTTCTTCCCCTAAAGTGTCCAATCCGTATGTCTTGTTAGGAAATTATCAGGAGACTGTCATTTCCCAGGAGTAGGATGAATACTGATCTCATTGGATACATCGGATATAGAAGGCACATCGAATCCTGTGCTGAGAGAAAGGTGAAGTATAAAGTATAAATAAAATAAAATAAAATTTAATGTATTTTGATCTACATTTGCATTTCAGAGAAGCAGCCATATCTCTACACAAATAGCAATCACTTTCAAAAGTTAACTCCGCTCTAGATATATTTAAGTTAAGTCTCAATGTAACTTAAGCTTTTCTTGGACATATGCAATTAACAGAAACCAAATATCATTAAATGGGATGGAATTGACTTCTGAGCAAACATATATTTACAGACTGCACTGCTTTTTAGTCTGTAAATGTATACGTGTCTACTTATTTTTATTTATTTAGAGCATTTATACCCAACCTTTCAGCCAAAAAAGCTCCCAGCAGCGGCCAAAATGTTAATTTGACAGTTCCATGCCCTCAGGCATTGTTGTTGTATGCCTTCAAGTTCTTCCAACTTATGGTGACCCTAAGGCAAACCTATCACAGGGACTTTCCTGGCAAGATTTCATCAGCGGATTTCATCCTCTAAGGCTGAGAATGTGGGTTTCCATGGCCAACAATTTACAATCTAAAATGACACAACACACAAGGAAAAATTATGGCAGTCGGGAAGGGGACTAAGCCAAGCAAATGCTGGCTGCTATTAACTCCCTCTGAAGCCACAGCAGTGGCAGTTGGGATGGATGGAGAACAGAGCTCTACCTGCCTGCTCTTTTCCCCAAATTTAAATTTTTAAAGCACATAAAAATAGCCATGTAAATGTAGAGTAGACGAGCTGAAGTGAATTAAAAATACTGAAATATTTACAACTATCATTAAAATTTCACTAAACCATTAGCAAAATTCACAGCCCCTCTTGCTTGATTAATATTATTAGGTTCACACTTTTATAAAAGTGAACCTTAAAAGCAGTCATATTGACTTTAATTAATATGCCATTGACTACCGATATTGAATTAGAAGGAATTCAACTGCTGATTTTGACTATAGAGGAGACAGCAAAGCCTAGAGAAGACAATTATGCTGGGGAAAGTGGAAGGTAAAAGGAAGAGGGGCCGACCAAGGGCAAGATGGCATCCTTGAAGTGACTGGACTGACCTTGAAGGAGCTGGGGGTGGTGACGGCCGACAGGGAACTCTGGCGTGGGCTGGTCCGTGAGGTCACGAAGAGTCGGAGACGACTGAACGAATGAACAACAACAACCTTTCCAATTGACTACAGCATATTTAGCGGTTTTCTTCTTAATTTGAAGGTAAGCTGTGATGGGTATGGGAGAGAGGCAAAATAGTGCTCAGGGGGCTGAGTTTTGTCTCTGGGACACAATCTGCCTATCTCCACCCTGATAGAGTTCTTGCAACTGGAAACCCAGAAGAGGGGAAGAGAAGCCAAATTCTGTTCCTTGCAGAAAAGCTCCCCCTAGCATTTTGGCCAGGCCATTGTATCATCTGCCCCAAAGAGAGCTGTGGGGTCAAGGAAACTAGTCCATAAGACCAATATGGTTCCTCATCCCTGCCATGCACAGGCAGTTCTAGTTTAGCACATGAAGAATGAAAGATGTACTTAACTTTGCTGCTCAGAACCACAATTTAACACAAATATAAAGCTGACTCCATGCATATTATCCTCATCCAGACCAGAAGTTGGTATAAACCAGTGTTTCTCATACAATTTGAACATCCCTTACCTTGAATTTCAGAATCCCAAATACTCCAAAATCCAAAGTTGTCCACATTGGGAGGCTGAGATAGTGACATCTGTTTTACAATGGTTCAATCTACAGCAGCAGTTCCCAACTTTTTTTTTGACCAGGGACCACTTTGACCAGAGAACACTCTCCAACATTAGTACCAAAAGGGTTACGAATCGGTTTTTGGTTAACTTTAGATTTGGTTTGGTTATTTGGGGTGCTGATTCAGAAAACTGCATTGGATAGACCACATGAGCTCTAGTTTCTGATACAGAAATATGCCATCCAGTAGTCACCATCTGCTTGCCCACAGAAAACCATATTTAATAATCTAGAGCTGATGTGGTAGTAGTAATCTTTTGTGGGTAGTCAGCCTCTCCCTTCCTGACACAATAAGAGGGTTTCGCAAGACGAATTGATCTTTTGCATGGTTTCAAGGGAACAGTGTCGTAATGGTGAGGTTGTGGACCATATTTTTGTTCTTGGTGACCACTGGTGAGCTGATGTGTTCTATCCAATGCAATTTTCTAAATCAGCACCCAAAATCACCCAGAACAGGCCTAAAAATGAAGACACCAAAGCATCCCCACTTCCAGGCACCACATGGAACTGCTCTGCTCCGGGAAAGGGAGGAGCAGTCAGTGTTCTGTCGCCGCTGGACCTGAAATGAAGTTTTTTTAAGAGAGGATGTATGGCTTGAATCCAGCGGGAAGCCAGGGCCCCCGAAAAGGAGCCTTTAGAGAAATTTCCCTCATTAAACAGTCTTTAGGAGGCTTGAGCTTAAATATAACAGTCTTTTATTGATGAACCAACAGGAATTGTAAAGCTTTCTTGGTAAAGAAACCAGTTCTCTCAAACTTGTTCACAGGGAACAGGTACTATCTTCAGTAACTTTGTTCAAAGGAAAATTCCCCTTTCTAGCTCCTCCCAGGCTACTGTGAACCTAAACCTGACTGATTTGAATCCACTACCGGCTGAACTGCGTCTCAGAACCGAGCAGATGTACCAGCAGGCCTGTAGTCACTTAGCTGGAGATCTTGACGATTAGAGCTGTTATTCCCTCCGGAATTCCTCAGGGCTGTAAGGCTGTTTCCCTGGAACCTTTGGGAATCTTTAGAGGCTCTTAAAACTGTTCTCCCCCGGGAAGTCTTAAGGGAGGGAGCCTTTGTACAGGAGGACGTCTGTATACATCCTCTGGATAGACTTCCTTTGCTGAGACTAACTGAAAAATGGCCCCTTCCCTCCAAAAAACCAGAGAGGGGCGGGACCAGGCATCCTAACTATTATTGACAGGTGGCTTGCCCTATGAATGCAGCCAAAGGAGCCACCTATCTGCAAAGTCCCTGCAACTTAGGACTATGAACAAACACTCAGTGCAAAGCACAAAATTGGAGCCCCTGGAACAGCCGTTCCAGAGCAGTCAGGATACTTGTTGTTGCCTCAACACTATAAGAGGGTTTCACAAGAATAGTCACTCTCCTTACAACGTTGTAGTAATGGTGAGGTCACGAACCATATTTTAGTTCTTGCGGACCACTGGTGGTCCACAGACCACAGGTTGGGAACCATTGATCTACACAAACTTCATTTCATGCACAAAATTATTATGCACAAAATTATGAATATGAAGGCTATGTGTATAAGATATATATGAAACATAAATTAATTTTGTGTTTAGACTTGGGTCCTATCTCAAAAATATCTTACTATACACATGTGATTTACAAGCAGTCCCCAAATTACAAACATCTGACTCATAGTTAAGAATGGGGTGAAACAATAGGAAGTGAGAGAAATCTACCCCCAAAGACACCAGGAGGTCGAGATACTCCTATTTTATTTATTTATTTTCTCTTTTTCTCTTTCCCTTTTTTCTTCTTTTTCTATTCTTACCCTCTCTTTTTTCCTCTTCTTTTCACTACTTTTATCTATATGCATATTTTAAGAAAACCTCAATAAAGATTATTTTTTTAAAAAGAAAAGAAATCTACCCCCAAAGAAGGGAAATTTACTCCTGAAAGTGAATTTGGGGAAAAGGTGTCTCCACTGAAGCTTTTTCAGCAATCCTTGTTTCCACAACAAGCCAAATTTTATCAACGCCAATGATCCCAGGAACAGAAAGTGAGGTGAAATCTTCTGAACAGGGGCACAGGCAGCAAAACAAACACCACAGGGGTTGTTAACACTTCCCTATGCTATCCAAATCCAAACACCTGGAACAAACATTTGGATAAAGGATGCTCAACCTGTACTATTTTTCCTGTGTCCATTGTCTAAAATTGCATTTCTCTCTCCCTCCTGGGATCTCACCAATGCATAAAAGTTGATGACTCAGGAATTGGCACCAGCCCAGGGACCACCACTTTGAACAGAAGTGATATAGACAACTATATCCTGATACAGCTAAAACACACACAGAGTAGGGAAAAGAAAATGGATGTAGAACTACAATCTAACATATGGATGTTCAATGTGAGGCCTGAAAACCTTTTGAAGCTCCTCTAAGCCTCCTACCGAAACCCTATGATTTTTTAATCTATCATAAAATCTTATAACTACTTCAGGTGAAACTAAAGGTTTTCCCCTAACATTAAGTCCAGTCGTGTCCGACTCTGGGGGTTGGTGCTTATCTGCATTTCTCAGCTGAAGAACCGGCATTGTCCGTAAACTCCTTCAAGGTCATGTGGCCGGAATGACTGCATAGAGCACCATTACCTTCCCGCCRGAGTGGTACCTATTGATCTACTCACATTTGCATGTTTTCAAACTGCTAGGTTGGCAGRAGTTGGGGATAACAGCAGGAGCTCACCCTGCTCCCTGGATTTGAACCGGTGACCTTTCGGTCAGCAAGTTCAGCAGCTCAGCCGTTTAACCCACTGTGCCACTGGGGGCTAATTACTTTAAACCACTAAAATGTGGAGGTTTGGGTAATAATGATRTGATTTGAGCCTCCTAAAAAACCCTCTTGCTGCTTCGAAATATGGCCAAGTTATTGCCCAAACTAAGAAYCACAAATGATGAGATGTCACCTGAAACACATCCTTAGATACCACTTGGAAGAGGACAGTGGGTAAGGAGTAGAAATTTCTCTCCATCCCCACAAACCACCCTCTCTTGGTTCATACATAATATTTCCCAAATTGTGACTACAACTACATCACCCTCTGTATAGGTGCCAGTCCCTGAGTGCACCTGAAGAAGCACACTGAGCCTATGAAAGATTATGCTATCAACTTCATCCTCTGTTAGTTAATGATGTGTTGCATGATCATTTGCATACTCCCATCATCCCCAACCAGGACAGGCAATAGCAGGATTTGTAGTCCCATGCATCTGAAAGCTTAGAGTTTACCTAGTATACATGGTTAGAACTGAAGAGCGGCAGATGTGATCAGCGTAGAAATGCTTGCAACAAACACTCACTGTGAAAAGGCACTGACATCCAAGAGTATCCATCACTGTACTTTTGAGTCCATGAAGTACAACTGCAGAACAATGCAGGTTTCAGGATGCATACAAATATACCTGAGGCCTCTTTGGCAAAATAAAAGCAATGCTCAGTCTTCCATCCTGCAAAGCAGATTGTCCTGCAAATAAAGCACACACTGCCATCTTCTCATCCAGGTCCCCAATCTATCCCCGCACAAAACAGCTCTCATGGCAGGAGTTTGTGTTCCGCCTGGAAATCCAACCTGCCTTGTTGCTTTTCCCTTCCCTGCACAGTTCCTCTGAGTACGCTCCATCTGTCCATGGTGTCCTATTCCTCCAGCTGGCTCATTGCAATTCGCTGGCCTCCCCAGAGGTCAGCCTCTCAGAGGTCAGGATTTGCTGCAGTATTCCGGTTAGAAAGAAACCCACAAAGGGCTGAGATTTTGAAACAAATAGCCCCAGAGCCATTTTTACACAACTAAAATGTGTCTAGGAGACAGGCAGGAAGCACGTTATGCTTTTAGGCAATTAGAGAGATGGAGAAAAGAAAGAGAGAGAGAGAGAGAGGCATGTGGCCATATACAGGAGAGGCATACAGGAACACTATAATAATAACAACAAAAGCTAGGAGCTGGACTGCCCATGAAGAAAAGAAAAAAGGATCTAAAATATCCCCTTATTTATGAATAGTTGGAGTCCTTGGTGGTGCAGTGGGTCAAAGCACTGAGCTGCTGAACTTGCTGACCGAAAGGTCACAGGTTCGAATCCGGGGAGGGTGAGCTCCCACTGTTAGCCCAGCTTCTGCCAACCTAGCAGTTCGAAAACATGCAAATGTGAGTAGATCAATAGGTACCACTCGGGAAGGTAACGGCACTCCATGCAGCCATGCCAGCCACAGCTTAGGTTCGTGCGCCAGCTGCGCCCGTATCTTGGGAAGTCTGACTTGGCCACGGTAGTCCACGCTCTAGTTACATCCTGTATAGACTACTGCAACACTCTCTACGTGGGGTTGCCTTTGAAGATGGTCCGGAAGCTTCAACTAGTCCAACGAACGGCAGCCAGATTGGGGGCGGCGCTCAGGGAGCATACAAGCCCCTTGTTGCGCCAGCTCCACTGGCTGCCAGTTTGCTACCGGGCCCAATTCAAAGTGCTGGCTTTAGCCTATAAAGCCCTAAACGGTTCTGGCCCAACTTACCTGTCTGAACGTATCTCCCCTTACGAACCACTGAGGACTTTAAGATCATCTGGGAGGCCCTCCTCTCGGTCCCGCCTTCGTCAAGCACGTTTGGTGGGAACGAGAGACAGGGCCTTTCAGTGGTGGCCCCTTGGCTATGGAATGCCTCCCTAGGGAGATCAGATCTGCTCCCTCCCTCTTGACGTTTTGGAGGCAAGTTAAAACGTGGCTATTCGAGCAAGCGTTTACAAATACAGAGTAGCTAATATAGGAAATCGAATGACCTGACAATGGAATTGGACAATGCTTGAGAATAATGAGAAGCTGATGATGTTGCTTTTATTGCTTTTGTGATGTCTTATACTGTTTAATGTTTTTTATCTATTATGTTTTATGTATACTGATTTGTTGGAAACTGCCTTGAGTCGCCAACTGGCTGAGAAAGGCGGTATACAAATACAGCAAATAAATAAATAAATACATATTTATACCCGGGGGGGGGGGGGGCACTCAGGGTGGGTTCATGATGTAATCATCATAAAACAATCAACAGGAGGGAGGTGGCCACTCTGATGTTTCTGGAGAGAGCGTCCCACAGGCAGGGGGCCATTAATGAGAAGGCCCTGTCCCTCGTCCCCACCAGTCGCGTTTGCGATGTCAGTGGGATCGAGAGCAGGGCCTCCCCAGATGATCTTAAGCTTCAGGCTTAGAAATGGAGGCTTAGAAATGGAGATGAGCCCCATCCCCCAGAGTCGGGCACGACTGGACGTAATATCAGAGGAAAGCCTTTACCTTTACCTTATGAATAGTTATGATAAAAAGAATAGCTTTTTGTCCAAACTACTCTATCTATGCCAAGCAAAATTATCAATCAGACAAATCAGTCTACACTTTCTTCAGGAATTCTACTTTTAACTGATAGGGCTGTTTCGTGGCAGAAAATCTATTATTCCAGGTGGCAATCTTCTGCATGCCTGCTTAGGAGTAAGCTACTTTGATCCTGCACAAGAGAACTGCAAGATTGGAGGCTTTAAAAGGAGATCAGAAATACATCTACGAGTAAAATTGATCTAGTACTTACTGAGACAGCAACACCAAGTCTTTCTGCACCACTTCAGACCACAGATTAGCTCTGACATGATTGAACATTGGCCTAGATAATTGTACCTTAATATATTGTCTCTCAATCTTTTTCCTGGCCCAATTTAAAGCACAAAACAGCGTAATGCTAAGTGGTTGTAAATAACAGTAATTATTTCTCCAGATTCAATGTGGCTTGCAAGGATTTAAAATAGGCATCTTTTTAAAAATTAATCATACAAAGTATTAAAAACCAAATTAAACTGACAAACAGAATTAAAAGTACTTAAAAACAAGACTATTAAAAAAGAAAAATAAGCCATCACTAAACAAAACTAAAACCAAAAGGTCATAAAAGGATAGCAGGGAAGGCATTAAAACTAATCTCTCTAAGAGTGCATCTATACTGAAGAAGTATTGCAGTTTGACACCACTTTAATTGCCTTAGCTCAATGTTATGGAATCCTGAGAGACTGTAGTTTGGTGAAGCACTCTTTGGCAAAGAAAGCTAAACACCTTGTAGAACTACAACTCCCATGATTCCAAAGCATTGAGTGTCATCGAGGGCATCCCAGACCCCTGCCTTCAAGCTGATCTGACCAGCAGCAGGGAGTTCCACAGTTCCTGGCTGCCAAGTTGGCCCAAACTGATGAAATGTGCCCCAGCAGCAGCCTCAACCAGGGACTCTATACAGCTGTGTGCTCTCTCCTTTCACTCCTTTGCTAGCTCCAACAATGTAACCAATCCCCAAATAAAGATTAATCAAATTGTAACTTTTAACCTCTCCAGCTTGATACTTTGTGTCCCTTTCTTGCCTGAAACTATCAAAATGCATGAAACTAACCTTTTCCAGGCCGCAGGAGACTGCAGGCCTGCCCGAAATGCTTCCCTGGCATTCCAGGGAGGCCGAATCTGCGCTCCCCCAAACCGCGGATACGGAAACCCCTTGGGTCCCCGTATCCGCGAGATGGTGGATCAACTCCATTTTGATGGCATATTTTTCCTGGCTAAATTCTAACACTATCTGCTATCTCGCTTTTTGTATTTCGGGCTTCTATGCTCGGGGAATAACCTTTTGAGTTTTAAGAATATAATTTTAAGGAAACAGCTGATTGTCAAAAGCCCAGCTTCGCTGCTGCTGCGCTGCCGCTGCCCTCGCCACTTCTCTGCCCCTTGCCAAGCTCCTGCCCTGGAGACTCGGTGCGACTACCCCACGAGGCTTTCAGGGAACAGCCTGGCCTTGGGGTCCCAGTCCTTGGAAGGAGTTGTAGATTCCCAAGGACCAAGGACCAATCCTGTATTTCCTATAAAAATGCCTCTGATTTCTGTAACCACATGTTCTGCTTGGTGAATGATTCCTGCATTGCATCCTTTTCAGCTGAATTGCTAATAAAACACCTCAGTGCCGCTTCTTCAACTTTGGTGAGATTTCTTCTGGATTTTTAGGGAAATAAAATTGCTGAAAATCAGGCTTCTCTTTGCTTGCCAAAGTAGCGATCCCTCTTTGGTGGGTTCTCAGGGTCTCTCCTCCTGGGGCAGACTCTCCTAAAGTTCCCATCGATTTCATGAGCACGCCAGTTGAAGTAATGTCAAACTGCATTAATTCTACATTGTAGATGCACCCTAAACAGGGAATTCCAGAGATTCAGAACAGCTACTGAGGATGCATCTACATTGCCATATAATCCAGTTTCTGATCCCAGATTTTCTGCTTTGAACTGGATTATATGGCAGTGTAGGCTCATATAATCTAGTACAAAGCAGATAATCTGGGATCAGATATGGCAGTGTAGATCCATCTTGAGAAGGTTGTTTCTTGTGTTCCCACCAGACATATCTGTGAAGGTGGTGAAGCAGAGAGAAGAATCTCCTCATAACATCTCAAAACATGGGCAGGCTCATATGGGAGAGACAGCTTTTTAGGTAATCTGAACCTGAGTCATATAGGGCTTTACAGGCCATCACTTTGAATTGTGCCTGGAAACATACTGGCAACCAGTAGAGCTGTTGCAGCAAGAGTTGTGCAGCCCCAGTTAACTATCTTGAGATCATTGTAAAACACTGTTTTAATTTATTTTTACTTATTTATTTCGGGTATTTTTACCCCACCCTTCTCAACCCCCTGGGGGTGGGGACTCATATGTAATGCCCAACTTCCAAACGTAACCTCAAGACTTCCCCATGGGTTCCCATTTTGATTGCTCCCACCAAATGAAAAGCAAATCAGGAGACTACTAATAACAGGGCTTTTCCCAGTAGAAGCTTCCCAATTATAGAGGTGCCATCCTGGAAAAGTTCCAAAGAGCCTTCTTGAAGGTGTTTTCGCTCCTTTGCTACCAGATGATATACTGCCCATGGCAACAATGAATGTAATAATGATGTGAATAATTCCTGTATTCTTGACCTCTTAGTTATAGAATCAGTATTGTGTGTGAGTTCTGCATTGCTTTCATATTTTATTATGCTTTGATTTTACAGTTTTGCATTCTATTTCGTATGTAAATCATGTTTTATGCCCACTGAACGTAATTTGTCCCCAAAAGCTTTGCTACCAGATGATATACTGCCCATGGCAACAATGAATGTAATAATGATGTGAATAAGTTGCAGGCTACATTGGAGGAGAGTTTACTCTCAAGGTAAGGCCTATTGTACACTGCCCAGGGAATTTATGGGATAGCATGCAAGTCAGCTAGCCAATCTGTTTTGGAACAAGCCAGGGTATTAACCTAATTTCAAAATTCATTGTTTAATACAATCCGTTCTGAAACTGCTAACCATCATTTCCCAATGTTTTCCAACCCTGAAGTTAACAACCTCCTGGTTTGCAAGTAGTAGTATTAATATGGAGGAATAAAAGCTTCTTACACAGTCTAAAATGTACAGTCTATAGCATCGGGAACAAGTACTGTATATAATCATGTATAAGTTGACATGTATAATTTTAGGGGCCAAAATTATGGATTTTAATATGACCCATGGATAAGCCAAGGGTCATTCTGTGGAGAGGGGAAAGTACCAATGCTATCTTAGGGGACCAACACTCTCTTACCGTCCCCACCATTTCCCCACTCTTCCAGGATG